TTAAGCAGCTACGGATTTGACATAGAATACTGACTGTAGGCAACTATTCAAAGTTTGGAAAAGGTTACCTCTAGATGAGGTTCATGTCCCTGATTCTCATCACATGTTCTGCCTAACGACCCCTCTCTGTGACACACAGGAGACTACTCTGCAGACTACTTCACTGTAATGATGTGATGATGCTGATCTTACTTCCTACACGGAAGTTTCAGTATCCACTGATCTTGTCTAAGGAACCTGCTGTTTGGGGCTTAACCCCGGGTCTAACTTAGGGTTAACTAAGAGCTGAACTATGTCTCTCTCACACACACCGACGTGCACACACGCGTTCCCTCTCACGCTTCTCATTTCATTATGGGTGACCGGGTTATGGAGGACCGAAGTGCCAATCGGCTCGCGCGCATGCATATGTGAGCACGCTGACACACTATGTAGACTGCACACGTGCACGCGCCGCCAGAGAGCGGCGACCGTCTCCTTGCATCGCCATGGCAGCCTCAGTTGCCCTTACGGTGCGGTGTGAGTGCATGGCAGGTGTAACGGAAAAGCCTTAAACTTACCGCAGTCCTCGCACAACACTCTCTCCACATCCTTCAGCTCCGGCTCGCTGGCGTCCACAGGGGCGTAAGATGCCTTGAATACCAAGGGCTCCGCGGTGGGGTCCATGAAAAAGATATATCTGTGGTCCTTCTCCACCGTGGTGCACGGGGCCTCGGAACCGAAGTCCCCGACGGTCACGAGCTGCTCCCTCTCGAGGCCGCCGCTGTTGACGGGCCACACGTCCAGCACTTTGACATTCACACTGTAGGGCTCCCGGGAGGAGACGTTCTCCGGGGAGGAGCGCACCTCGCCCTCGATGACCACGGCGGATCGGTACGCCTGGTCCTGGAGGGAGTTGAGACTCGGGGCGTAACAGGCGAAGGAGACCCCGATGACCAGCATGGAGAAATGTACTGGATCAAGCCTCATGCCGTCAGCCTGTGCTGTGCTGCAGTGCTGCTGGGCGGCGGAGCGAGCTGGAAGAGAGAGACGGCGGCGAACGGGCTCCGGCAGAGCAGGCAGGGCAGAGCGGCAGACCTTGTGGAAGTGTCCATGCCATCTGTGTCTGCCGCTGCTTTCCCCATACGGCTGCTGGCCTCGGATGGGGGGACACACCAGCCTAGGAACCGGAAACGGCCCGCTTCTGCATGCTTAAAAATGTGATTGCTGCATTCTCCTTCAACCAACCACCCTCCCCCTCTTATCTCCCCTTTTCCTGAAAGGCAAAACAAGACTCGTAAATTAGCCTCCTCTCGAATCCAGGGCTGAAACCTCTCTCTCTCCCTCCCTCTCTCTCTCTCTCTCTCTCTCTCTCTCTCTCTCTCTCTCTCTCTCTAGCTAATAGGCTAGCATCGCATGGGTGGGCGCATTGCCTCTCTGGAATGAAAAAAGCAGCTTGCGCGTACAGGGGAATCACAAGAAACGATACGCACTCCACGCACACGCAAGGTCAGGTCCTTTATCCACTTATTTCGATCGACTCCTGTAAACCCCGTTAGTCGGCAGGAAAAAATTACAAAAAGAAAATTACAAAAAAAAAAAAAAAAGAAAACCGGGGTGGAACAGACTGACAGGATGAGATAGCAGCGGTTATCCGGTGAGGCGATGCAACAGTAGCGCGCACCCTCCAGCCGCGTCCCCTGCGCCCCTCATCAAACGCGAGAGGCTTACGTGAGCAAACATCACCTGCCCGGTCACTGGCGTCGGATCGCCACGTCCTGCGCAAACACCCTAATGACCCGGGCACCCAGCGCACACCGCCACCGACCCAACCGGCATGTGACCATGCTGGTCGACTGTGTTAAACCTCTGCGGGTGTGGGTGCGAGAGAGAAAATCGCACACGCAGTGCACAGACACGGAGTGCGTCTGTAGCCAAGCCCCTGCACGCGCCCACTGTGGATCTCCGGTGCGAGAGGTGCAAGAGAGGCTATAGGCGACTAATACACACACTGCGGATAGTTGCGATGACTAACGCTGCGAAATTCTCTCAATGGATTCGTTGGCATGGCGAGGCGAGCTCAGAGTTCCCAGACGTTTAGCGTTAAATGTCCTCAGACATCTATGCGCTCGCTGCGCGCCGCAGGAGAGCACACCCAAAACCTGACATTTTCCACACTATTATGCGAGTCATTGCAGTTCATTCATATTTCTGTGGGACACTGTACAGTTTTACGACTCTATAAGGCAACAAGTGGGGGCATCAGTTCCCCCAACCTGTGGGTATTGTGCTGGAGAGACGTTCTACCCAAATAATTTTGCCAATCCTGCTCAGCTACAGCTAATAAAACCACATTTTTCATTGAACGCATCTCCACCAATGAAAAGAGAGCTTTACACAATATGCTCAGGCTTTTTATGGTGACCACAAGGATCCCCCTCCCTCCACAGCAAATCAGTCCCCTGCCTCCATCTCTGTATCCATCAATCAAACCATTCATAAGATTCGTCTTTCCCTCCCTGTCCGAGGCATGTGCGCCCTTCGCTAGAGGTCAGAAAGCCTTCTGTTGTCCATGCTGAGAAATGGATGAAATATAATGTCATATAGGGGACATGTGGACAGGTTTTTCTTACTATAGATGACTGGAATGATAATGAAAATGTACGAGAGGCCGTTTCATCACAGTATGCATCTACATGATGGGCCCCATCCGACCGTTTCACCATCAGCGGGGTGACATTATGGACCGGTCTCTGTCCATGGTGCTGAAAGGCTGGACAGGCTTAGTGCTCTGTCCCAACAGGCCAATCACACATTACCTCATACAGACTGAAGGCCACAGCCAGATTGCTGCAGTGAAGGTTTGTCTCCATGTTCACTGTAACATACTAACCTAAGATCAAAAGAGTCAGCTTCTTTTATTGTAAAGACAAAGTAAAAGGTATAGTTTAGTCCTGTGTGCTGTCCATGGTGCTAAATGCTAATTGAACGTGAAGGTTTTTCTTTTTTGTCAAATGTTGATGGTTCCAAATTACTGGGATTGCTTCTCCAGTCCAGGGATCAGAACATTATTTCAAGAGGGAGCCCTTCAGAGTCTGTGATCCGTCCCGTACTGACCCACCCCCACCTCTTACCCTCACCGCCCACTGCCCACCCATTCACCGATCTGTCTCCCCTTCAGTCATTCAACCAGCCATGCATTCAGTAGAGACCCCATTCAGAGACCTCACACACACACACAGACACACACACACACACACACAGACACACACAATTTAAGAATTTCCAAATTAGCCTTGAAAGCAAATCATTGACAAAGCGAAGGGGAGTAACAAACGATTCCCGCTGACTAACCCGGGGAGGACTGCCACCAATTGCCTCCACGATTCTCCCGACACTCGTACTGAGCCATGTGGGACTGATCAGAGGGGCTGGTTTTGGTAACGCAGAAGCTTGGGTTGGCCTCTCATGATACAATTGCTGTCCAAACTGCTTCACTGTCAGGCTAATACTCTCTGTCTCTGATGCTAACAAATACTTGTCACAGTGACACCACGTCCTTTATTGTAACAGTTATTATGTAGAATATGTCTTGGCACACTTGTCCCAGATTTCCTCTTTGCAGTCCTCTTTCCCTCATTGTCTAAATCACAAGAGATACTCATGAGCAAACTCAAATACCAACTGTTTTTAAAGCCCACCATCCGCTGTCCATGGTTCTGAAAACAAACAGAAGCGACTTGTCCACAATGGAAATGACTGGACATATGCTAAAGATTATAAGGCCAATAAGACTCTGAAGACTTTATCATCACAAATCGTCTGTTAATAATAAACAATTATCTTTTCTTCATCTGATTTGTCTCTCCTGATCAAAATATATATCAACATCTTTCCATTTCAAACATCTCCTAAAGAAAAGGCTGATCCACAGAAAATATATGCAAACAATTTAAAGTTGTGTTCCTTTTCCAGATTGTGTCTATTGATGTTAATAATATTCATAGCTTCACCTAATGTTTTTACTATTGTTGTACCTTATATGACCTTTAAAAGCGAGGTTCAGTCCAACTTGAATAATCGCCTACAAAAACATAAACAAGTGCTGAAATATAACACATTCTTAACTGAAATATGGGTACATACTAAGCTATATAAGTCGCAGGAATAATAAACTGTATAATGCAATTTAAATAAATGAAATAAACTTATCGAGATGGTTTTCTATGTTGTTTGTTCATTTCATATTTGTGAATTCAAGCAGTTTTTTTATATTTCAGATATGTTGATTGTCCAAAATATTATTTTTTTATCAAACTTTTTTGCTACTTTGTACACGAACCCTTTCAAGGCCATTGAGAAACAGTGGCAGGCAAGCAAGTCCAATCACAGGGTAATGATTCATGATGCTTCACAGTGTATCAGCCCCCTCCTTCCCACTCCCACACAGCTATCATACTGTTCATTCAGAAATTTCTCTTTCACATTGCTCTCTCTCTCTCTCTCTCTCTCTCTCTCTCTCTCTCTCTCTCTCTCTC